AACCGGGGACAAATGCTACGGAAATTTCTTGGGAAAGTTTCCGAAAAGTCCGGAAATTATTGCATTTCCGATAAGCGAAGCATTCAACTGAAACTTCCGGGAATTTCGGTAGGAAAGTCAAGTGGAGAGGAAATTTCCGATAAGAAATTTCCGAAATATTCGGTATACCTCGCAAGGTTGCCACTTTTCCTGAAATTTCGAAAAATACTCTTCCATTTGTCTCTGGGAATTTGCTTAAACTCAAGCCTTGTTTTTCCATGGACTGGAAAACGCCCAAAGAAAACATCACCAGATAAAGATGATTTTCCTCAGAGCCTCGGAGCATGTAAGAATATTGACATATCGAGCTTGGCCTAATTGGTGATTGCTATCAGAATGACAATTTATTTTCCCTTTAAAAAAAAAACTCTGTGGAGAGAAATCAGAAGCACCTAATTTTTTGAAAATTTAAAGTGACCCTGAACCCTCTTCAGAGATTTTTTTTTTAAATTTTGTAAACAGTTTTTGAGTTAAAAGCGCTTAAAGTTACACTTAAATGTGTTTTTTAACAGGCAACCTGATATATAAAACTGATGACCGCAACATGTTTACCTATGATTGGACATTTGTGTGATACCATTATTGTAACATCACTTGTTAAACAGTGGCAGTATTCATCCTTCAAAGTATAGCTTCTGGAAATGTGCTGGAAACTGTTGCCAGACTCCTTCATGCTTCAATTTGCTCGAAAGTGCCGAGTCGGCTATTATTTCCTAAAACTATTTAATTATTCCCATAAGTTACTTTGTGAAATCGTTTGAACAGGCAAACGCTAACACTTGTTCGCTAGACAATATCAAAGGTGAATTCGGCATTTGCACCTATAAATCAACAATAAATATCACACTGAAAATCCTATGATGTACGGAAGTACGTGTCCCAGAAACTTCTTCAGTTGGTAGAAGTTTCATGGTCGTGATCACAACATGCAAGTGACTGACAAACGCAGTTCTCGTTCGGGTTTTTAATTCATTCATAATACCATTTAGATCTCGACAAGGAATGAAAAATATTCTTTAACTGTGAGAAAAAAAAAAAAAAGACGCCAACTATCTTGAGGGCTAGGTTCTTGGGCTTGTGCACATGACGGTTTATTGTAAAATAAATAAAGTCTGCTGCGCTTATGAAGCTTAAAAATGCTCTCGAATCAAACATAGTTTAACATTCTACCCCGGGTATAGGTAATGATGACATGATAATAAGTTACGGAGAGTCCCTCCGGCCTGGGACAAGCCTGAGACCAGGCGAAAATAGAGGCGGAGAGTACAACTAGATCAAGCCTGATTTACTCGTTGGGTGGAAGGGTACGTCCCTGTCGCTTCCGCGGCCTCGAGTAAAATGATGAGATGGAACATTTGTAAAGGGGGAGGGGTAGTCAATTCTTTTATACTGTCATTTGCATGTAGTCTTTAGGGTGTCAATTACCGATGCAAATGAGTTTGCATAGAACACAGTGGCGATACAAAAAGGAGACAAAGGGATGAAGGAGTTTAATTTGTTTCACTTGGACTGAGGGGAGTTCTGAAATCGAAGCTGAGGACTTATAAAGTGAGTAACAGCTTAATTGTATAAAGTACGAAAGTAAGTGTCTGAAGAAAAACCTTCCGGACGCTGCAGGTGATAACAACGTGTAAATGATCGACAGAAGCTCCCTGTCTTGGCTTCTCACTCAGTCAACAAACCATTTCGATCATAACGCGTACGTGGAAAAAATATTCACTAAAAACTGAACCAAACAGCAACCTCAACAGAAAAAATAACCAGGGTATTTGGAAGGCGCAATCCTAAAGCAATAAAAAAAAAAAGGTGAAGAAGAAAAATGGGTACTTATAACCTGTTTTAAAGAGTGAGTCTTACTAGTGACACATAGACAATGAACCATCAACAATACTTCAGTAACAGCTGGCAAAAATTGTATAATGAGCTCAGCAGAGGGAAAAACACCAGGACATTTTCTTCAAAATACAAGTTAGTCTCCCAAGAAAGGCACTGCTGGTATATAAACCTTTGCATATGCCTGTTGTCTTCAGAATCAGGTTCAGGGAGTTCTGTGTGGGACATCACGATTTGGTGCTGCACCTAGGCAGCTCATAAAATACTGTTGAGTAAAACAAAGACGAAAGAAAAAGGGTGCTTAATTTGTTGTACTAAAACTGTGAGAGAGTTATGAGAAAACATACATAGAAATGGCTGAGGAATGAGAATCGGTCGGACTTTATTATTCAATATTGTATTGACATTTTCACGCACTTTAATTTTTTGCTTCCAAATTAAGAAAATTGCCAAATAGTATTCATAAACCTTATTGCTTGCTAATCAATAAGAAAATTAATAATTTACGAAATAACTACAAATGATGGCAAAGGAATCGTCCAAAGAATGGTTAGAAACCGGTGTTTGAAGTATATTAAGCGTACATTGAATCAAACAAAAAGTAGTATTGAAATAAGAATTATTTACACGCTTTAAAGTGCAAATGACTCGAAAATTGATCGACATTTTTTTTCTTTAACCCAAATCTTTATGTTATAAAAAACATTTTAGCGAAAAAATTAACTTATTTACGTTTCGAGGACATAGTTTAAAATGCGACGAAAGATGAGTATTTTTAGGCAAAATGTGGGACAAGAGCCTGGAAACGAGTGCAGATTTGTGACGTCATCAGTTGTGATGACTGGATCAAGAGTTTTCCTCTACGCCGTCTGGGGACGATGTAGAATCGTTCGCAAGTTCCGAAGAGGATGATGCGTTCATCACGGGCGAGATATGTGCGTACCAAGTTGTTGTTGTTGTTGTTGTATCTCTAAAAGCTTGAGTGACGCTTACTACTTTTCGCCAAATAAAATACCATCGAATGTGACAGAAAACACTTAAAGCGATCAAGAGTTTTCCTCTACGTCGTCTGAGGACGATGTAGAATCGTTCGCAAGTTCCGAAGAAGATGATGCGTTCATCACGGGCGAGATATGTGCGTACCAGGATAAACCTTTGACCAGCTCTGATGAGAATGATGGCGATGGTCTTGAGGATGAAGAAGCTGATGAGGATGGCTCAACGTCTGCCACTCTAGTGCGACGATTTTAGAAAATAGCTGGTTTTCACATGACGTCACCAAAATTCGAACCACCAAACTATTGATCTTCCTGAAATTTTACTTAAATGATGTATAAGAGCAGCTGAAAACTAATATTCATACAAATTTTCGCTCCGAATGGGTTCTTGGTTTTGTGATACACTACGCTTGAATTTCTAAGCTTTTGCGTGACGCGGCATTTACATGACGGCCTAGAGAGCTGTCATGATGGTTAAAAAAGTGACTTATTTCGGGGAATTTGGCTATCTGAACAGTTCATGTCTTAGAAAAAGTATTATTTGAATGTTTTACAGTTCCTCGAGGGATAAATTCACGCTTTTGTAGCAAAACTCAGTGTCAGATGTTTCTGTTGGTTTCCAGCCGCCATGTTGGTGCCCATACGGATGGGCACCAGCATGGCGTCTCCATACAAATCTCTATAAATTTGGGTAAAAAATTTCTCCGCATATCTCGCATAAGAAAAATTGCTGTGACCAGAATTTTGGAGAGAGCCTTTGCATATTTACCTTCTTTCATTTCCCAGATTCTAGACTTTATTTATCGACCGGTTTTGATTTTGATTTTGATCTATTTTGAATTGCGTGACACTGAAAACCAGCAATAGAACGTGTGAGTACATGGTGAGTGTGTCTTACCTAGGTCTGTTTAACCATGCTTTAATATCAACTAAAATGAAAAGAGGTGATGGCGTAATCATAACCATCCTTGGTTATCAACATTAGTCCTTACGGGAAGAAAATTTAGCTGACTATTAGTATTACAGATGTTCGAGTCTCATCAATCATTTCATTGTATCTAACAGGTGTTCCTGCAGGCATTGTAGCGATGCTATTCTTGTATCGGCTCGTGAGTTTAGGGCTGAGGAAGTCGCTTACGCCAGGGCTAAACTTTCATTTGATGGCAATATCGAACGGGAAAACGGGAAATGTTTGGCGACCAAACACCATCAAACATTGTTTGGCGACCAAACATTTTACCGTTTGGCCACCATATTTGGTGGTGTCTGGTGGTGTTTGATCGTGTTTGGTCGTGTTTGATAAAATTTGAAGGCCATCAAACATTCGATCAAACAACTTAGACATTTCTTTTGTTCGCTTGTTTGATGGGTGATGTTTTGTTCATTTGGACAGCCGTATCAAACATGTTTGGCGCGCGCATGCGTACCACACTTTCTCAGCGGCTTGTATCCATTGTGTGATCTGTGTTTGATCAAACATGTTTTAAACGTGTGGCCACTCACTTCAACATCAGCATGTTTGGTCAACAAACAATGTTTGATGATGTTTGGTCGCCAAACATTTCCCGTTTGGACAGGCCTTAACACAGCATGCCGATTAACACAGGTTTCTCAGAGCTACAGCCTATAGGTGGCTTGTTCGGTGGATATTCAGCTACTTGGGCTGAGACAACAGGAGACCATTGCCAGCATGTATTTATCGCAATATAAGATCCAGATTTGGCAATAATCACACAACTGGATATCTATCAACTTAGGAAAGTAACTGAGGTGAAACTTACTCAGAAGAGTAGTTTTCTTTATTTCCAATAAAGAGTTACAATCAAATTTGCTCTGACTTGTTCTCTTCCTGTATGAATAAAAATACATTTGGGGTCATGTGGCTTTGTCCTCTCTACAGTTCAGTAACCCAAAGATGGAACATGATTAAAATTGGCAACTGGAAATCTGAGCCCCCTGACATTCAAATGTTATCTTTCAAACTGGTATAATAAGCATGATGCTGAGGGGCTCCAGATTGACTGTAATGCTAACTATTCGTGCCCTCTATGTTAGGCATCTAGTTGCAACGGACAGTGATTGCATCGATGGCCTGGCTTTTTACATTTGCTGCAGGTGTAAGACTTTTTGTTTGGTGGGGGTTCTTCCTCAGCCAGTTGATTTTGTCCAGCCTGCATTGCATCCTGCTCAGCAACTAAAAAAGGAATGAAAAAAAAAAAGTAACTTTAGAGGTGGTAAAAAGGTTGGATTTGGTTTCCATCTATGTTTGATAATTTTTAATTTTGTAACAAACACCTTCATTTCTCTGGTTTTGTCACTAAATATTTTGGCTCAAGTTCATTTGGCAATCAGTCCACTATTACATCCCTAACAAATATCTTGTTACAAAGCTGGACTTGACTAATGGAATGCCAAGCAGATATAATAATAATAATAATAATAATAATAATAATAATAATAATAATAATAATAATATTGGGGAAAAAAGAATGTTTCCAACAATGAGAATTTGAATTAATTTACACTAAATTCTTCTAAGTTTTATATTTTCTATTAGTCTGTGTCCTTTATTAGTATGGGTTTCTTACAAGCTACATGGTTTGACACTTACAATAAAGATTTATTATTATTATTATTATTATTATTATTATTATTATTATTATTATGTATGCCAGGCAAAGGGAGTTTCTGTGTGAATGGGCTCAGTTTTATTTACCCGGGGGAAATAGCTCTGATCTGGTCCTCTTCTTGTTTTTCTGCTTGTGCTGTATGGCCTCATCTTTACCCAGCCTCTCTCCCTCTCTGTTCAAGGGCTCTGGGACCTTCTCTTCATATTTTTTTTTATAGCATTGCCTAGATCTTTCAATGGCAAACTGAATAGCAGCTTTCGGATGTCATCGACATAACCTAAGGAGATAATGAATGCAGGTACTTTGCTGTCATAAGTTACTTAGTAAAACAGGATATCAGCTGGGAAATTTAATGGCTGAGGTACGTTTAAAACATGATCAAGTGCGAATTAAAGGATGTTTTGACCGCCTGTCATCATATTTATCTTTCTCTACCCTTGGAAGTTGGGTAGTCTGAAAATAGACTTACCATATGTAGGATGAACAGCCACCTTGCACACCACTTCTTCACCAATTTTATATTTTGGATATGACACTTTGTGGTAAGGTTTTCCACCCTGGCCTGTCTCTGTTTTCCCTGTGAACGTTTTCGTTGAAGTCTAGGCTTGCCAAAATGTGCCTAAAATGTGTGATGTAAATTATAAAGACACAATACAGTAGCAGTGAAGTGGTACAATCCTGCCAAATCACATCTGTCATATGTGAACTAGTCTTAACCTCTCTTGAGTTGTGTTAAAACTATTATTTTCCCTTGTTGACTGTAATTATCTGCAGAAAGTACCAAGCCAAGAGAAATGGATCATTTTTGGATGCCAATGATCAAGGGTGGCATGAAACCCCCCCCAGGCAGCTGGTTTGAATATCCGGTGACAGCTTCTTAATGTCAGCTAAGATTCTCGTGCTCGAAAGGATAGAGGAGATTTTGTCATATGCTTTTGTGCCTAATATGAATTTAAATAAAAAAAGAAAGAAACACATAGTGATAAACCTGTTTACGGGTATAGTAGCACCAAATTAGCACAAAGTATTTATCTATTTTGATCCAGCGTCGTGGGGTAATCTCTCCATGGGAACAAGCAGAAAAGAGTGAAACGGGATGTTCTGTGTGTTTGTTACCTATGTGACCCAAAAGAGACTTCCATTTGGCTGAAATTAACTCCTCGAACCCCTGAAGAGTTGACCACACGCACCAGTGCAGATGATTTCTCACTCCTCTCATCCAGTCTTTAATCAGCTCAAGTCCCTTTTCCTGACTGGCTTTCAATAATTTCTTATTTATTGATCTAGCAGCATGCCAAATATAAAAAAATATAGGTTGTTTGGGGCTGACATTGCCTAATCCACTTTGCAATGCCCCTGTGACGATCAGAGACAAAAGTGGCCACAGACAATCCCACACTCTTTAAGAAAAGAAAGCAGCGTTTTACTCCTCCCAACTCCATGGCACTTTGCTGAAGATCATTTTAAATGCTACAAAGCAACGGCAGCTGATACAGGGAGCTATGAATTCAGTTCGGCACGGTAAGGGCACGCCGTTTGAAGCCAAGTCGCGCTTATAAGCTAAGACTTTGTCAAATCAAACTTACCTTTCTTCGCTCTCTATCTGTCACGGCTGGAACATCCCCTTGCGTTATCGCTACATCAATGGTTGGAAATGCTCCTTTTTCAATTCTTAGAACACTAGGCTGATCTGCTGGGTCGATCCTTCGTGAAAAGCTCTCTGGTGTGAAATGGACTGAACACAGCACTGATGTCTTCGATGGTTTGAACCCGCGCCGGTGTTTTTGCACAAATTTCGTCCATTTCCTTCTCACACTTTCGTTTGAAGTAAAAAGGTGCATCGGTATGCCGGGAGTTTAACTAGAATTAGTGCAGCTAACTAAACCAGGGCCGCCAGCTACACAATACTTTCCGAAGACTCTTCGATTTCGCTTATCCGCCATTCTTCCCGCCACAATCTACACAACTGATGACGTCACAGAGCATTCTGTGGCCGCGCGGAAATTGTCGCATATTTCTGACTTAAGTGCTTAACTTTAAGCGCTGGAAAATACCACTTTTGGGCGCCTCTAGAAGGTTCTAATAACGAAATCTGATCAAGCAATACCTCAATTTAAATACCAAAAAATTAAAACAGGTGTTCAAAATTTCGGGCCATATACACTTTAAGACGATTGAATACGTCCTATGAATTTAAGAAAATCACAAATCGAATTTGCACAATAACTTCAAAATGTGGGCAAACTCAGTGTCCAAAGAAAGGTTTAAAACTGTCCTGCAAAGGTTCTTTAAGCCATAGTGTCCATTGAATTTAAATAAGAAGCAGTTTTAAATTAACGTTTCTTACGAGTTTTAAGTCGACTGAACCTCTCTACTCTACATAAGTATCATCAGCTGCTGCGCTGTTCAAGATAATTTATCTGAAGAGAGCCTTAAGCCCATTACGATAATTTCTGCTGAAAATTAAACAGATACAAGGATTTATCGCACAATTTGCGATAGCCATTAACCTAACGACATATACAAAGTATAGGTCGTCACAATTCGGCCATATGATGGTGTCCGTAAAGAGGAGAATACACCAGAGGATAGTGAAGGGCAGCCAGCATACTGTAAACCCTAGCACAATAGCAATGGCCATCTTTAGCAAATTTCGCTCCCTTTGCTGGCGTTGTTGTCCAGCGTTGGCTGATTGCTCTCCTGGAATCCTCTGTGACTTGAGCTTTAGTAAGATGGTAACGTAAAGTATGGTTATCAACACCAACGGGATAAAAGTGAATACAACTATACAGGACACGAAATAATTCTCATGGGATGAGGATTCTCCAAAAAGTTCATTCCAGTTCTGCTGACAAACCAGCTTCTCTGGATGTTCAACAACTTTGCAGACGAAGAGAACTGGGGAATAAACAGCTATCGCGACGATCCAAGTGGCGAGAATAATAAACAGGCACAGATTTGAACTGATGAGTGGAGAACGGAGAGGAAATACCACAGCACCAAATCGATCCACTGCTATCAGAACCAGGCTCTGAAAGGACACAGTAGAGGAAACTTCTGTTAAGAAGGCAACCAGCTTACATAAGACCTGGCCAAAAGGACCACCGATCAACCAGGAGTCTTTATAGAGCGTTTGTATCTCCAAAGGAATCAAGAAAATCCGAAACAGCAGATCGGACATGGCCATGTTTACAATGAAAAAGTTGATGGGTTTTCTCATGGTTTTCGTCTTGTAGACAATAATTCCAATGACGGTGTTCCCAGCCAACGAAAAAATGAAGATCAGGCAGTAAGCAAATGTTATTCCAATTTTTTTCTGCTCTAGGATTGCTGGGGCAGCTCCATGACTGTGTTCCATTCATCGTTCTATTCACGTTTTCCGACATCGCCGTTCAGTTTCTTTTTCCGCTCTTACGCTGGCAAATGATTTTTTTTTCTGGTTTCTTCACTTAGTAACGTATCTATATTTATGTCCTAGTGAAGGCGGGATAACTGTTCGACTTGATGTCGGCATCCGCTCGAAAAGATTGATCAATTAGGAAATTTCCACGAAATGTTTAATGATTGGCAGATCTTTGTTCCAGCTGGTCGCAGTCTATTTGACAATATAATTCGGGTTGCTTATTTCGTGTAACTCAACAAAATGAGGTGATCAATCAGGCTTGTGCCACAAATTGCTTTTTGTTTTCATTTCATATCTTAACATCGATGAAACTGGAAGCAGACAGGGTCCTAAAATGTCAGTGCTGCTCAAATGAAGTAGTGAGAGCTGGGTGGGTTGTTTTTCAGCTCTGTTCGAAGTGTGATAAACATGACAGTCGTTCAATTTTCTTCTACCCTGTTATTTAATGAGGTTTAATAAATTGATCGTGGCATCAAATTGTCCATCATGACGAGTCAGTGAGAATACAGAATGTTCAACGTTAAAACCCGAGTTTAATAATAAACAATGCCCTATGAGAAAATGCTTCTTGTCGGAGTTTAAATCACGAAACTTTAATGTCTAATATGACAGCATAAACCGTCTAATGAAAGGCTGCCGCGCAAATGTGATTTGAATTTACTCCCGCTGCAGAGTCATGAAGTTTTCTCGAGTATCCAAGTCAGTATTTTAATAAAGAGACTCCTCCTCGTGCATTGCATATGACGTCAACAACGGCTAATAACTTCAGGATCGGATCTAAACTCGGTTTATGCCACACGAGAGTCTTCTTTAAAAAGTCTGTGTATGAAAAGAGAAGGATTTGGATTGAAACGAGAGAGGAGAGAGGAGATGGGGTCTAGTTTGTTTTTTCAAAATGAAGGACAGACTGAAAAAGTATAAACACTGATGTTAAACAAAGAACTATTCCATTACTTTCCTATTGATCCTTTTTCCGAAAACCCCACTTGGTCCTAGCTGTGGTATTACTGGATCAGCCGAACTTCAGTTTTCCTTTAATGATTGCCCATAGCTTTTCATAGGCCACTAAAAATGACTTGAGCTTTATACGAGGGGCGCGGCCAAATTTCGCCCGGCTATATTTCCTTGTTCGCTTTTGCCTTATTTCACTTAACTGATCGACGAGTAGCGACATTAATATATTTGCAATGCCTTTAATATACTTTGTGGGACTGCTATATATTTATGATTGTATCTGAGTCGTCTCGAGCAAGGGTGTATATGTAACACTTCAGGTTCGCTAAGTAGCGTAAAAGGTTCTTTGTCTTTCTTCTGGGCTTTTTTCTTCGGAATAGTTTTTCACTTTCACTCATTAATATCATTGTTAGAGTTTTATGTTGTATGGAAAGTGGGCGTCTGAAGGGAAAACATTTGAGCATCCCACGTGATAACAAAGTGTAAATGATTGGAGAAGCTTCCTGTTCATGGTTCCCACAAAGTCAATAACCACTGAGTTAATTAAGCGTTAGTTTATAGATATTCTCCTTTGCTGAGAAAACTAAACCAAAAAAATCCTCACCGCCTTTGGCTGTAACTTCTGATATAACATAATATAACATGACCATGATCAATTCATCAAGTTCTTAATAAAGTTGATGTCACCTAAATTGTTGGCGGAAAACATTTTTTATTTTACTGTTCTAGTTCATCTTTTAACGCCTGCTTTTTGGAGCCGATTCAAAGATAACAAAGTGATAAATTTACTTCCATTATGATTTTCTTTCATTTTAACTCTAACATAACTCGTTCATTTGAATAGAACAGCACCAACCATTTCATTTGCAACTACGTGCTCCATTTAATTGAACTATTTCCTTATTTGTTTTGTTAAGGCCGACGGTGTAAATCCTTGTCATTTTATGTTGTATTGAAAGCGGAATTGTCCTCTTAACCTCGCTGTTTTAATAAAAAAAAAAACAATTGTTAAGAACGACAATGTTTTGTCTGTCAAAATAGTCTGTGCGTCTATTTAGATTCAGCAGGTGTATTTGTCAGCGTTTAATTAACCGAGGGAGAAAGAAGGGATATTTGCGTTTTGAGGCCTCCAAGCTGTCATCAAAAGAAGGACTGTCAAATAATACTGTCAGACAAGACACCCGTATCCGCTTTTAAAACCACAAATCAATAATAATCATGTATAATAAGTAATAGTTATTGTACTCACTGGGAGTAGAGTATAATTCAGGGAGTAATCGCGCGTGTAACTTCAAAATTGGACGAGCGCGAAGGGCGAGGCCGATTTGAAATTAAGAGCTACAATTACTCCCTAAATTGTACGACACGAAGTCCAATTACTAATAAATCGTATCTATAACAAATTTTAGAACATAAATAAGTCTTTGGAGAACTTCCATAAATTTTAAAAACTGAAGGAAGCCATTTAAGCGTGTAATTGACGTGCAAATCACTGTGGGTATCCAATTACAGCTATCCAATAACAAAAAGCTGTAGTTTGATACCTGTAATTGGACACCACGTGATCGCGCGCCGGCTACGTGACAAATAGGCGCGCGGAGAACCAATCACGATCGAATATATTGTTATAGATAGGATTATTGCCAATTATTATATAGCTATTATTTAGCGCACTGGGATGTGGTTAGCGCTCTTTTTGACCACACAGTTAGATTCAGATTCAGTTCTGCTATTATTCTATCTCTACTGAGCGGGTCTGTCTCGCTAGGCTGATTAGCTACCGTTAAAAGGATAGCCAGCTCAGCTGGGGCCTTAGGTTTGTTAAATCAAAGTAGCAGGAATACAGAAAATGTTATATGAATGATCACGTTTTCAAGAGTGACGGATAAAACATTGCTCAATATTGTACAGAGGGTATTCCTCAAAACGTNCAGTGAAAACGATCTATAGTGATTTTAATTATTGACAACATCCAATTAAATAACTGAGGAGCTCCGCTTTCAGGCTTGGCTAAATCTATATATTATTTTGGATATGACACTTTGTGGTAAGGTTTTTCACCCTGGCCTGTCTCTGTTTTCCCTGTGAACGTTTTCATTGACGTCTAGGCTTGCCAAAATGTGCCTAAAATGTGTGATGTAAATTATAAAGACACAATACAGTAGCAGTGAGGTGGTACAATCTTACCAAATCACATCTGTCATATGTGAACTAGTCTTAACCTCTCTTGAGTTGTGTTAAAGCTATTATTTTCCCTTGTTGACTGTAATTATCTGCAGAAAGTACCAAGCCAAGAGAAATGGATCATTTTTGGATGCCAATGATCGAGGGTGGCATGAAAAACCCCCAGGCAGCTGGTGTGAGTATCCGGTGACAGCTTCTTAATGTCAGCTAAGATTCTCGTGCTCGATAGGACAGAGGAGATTTTGTCATATGCTTTTGTGCCTAATATGAATGTAAATAAAAACAAGAAAGAAACACATAGTGATAAACCTGTTTACGGGTATAGTAGCACCAAATTAGCACAAAGTACTTACCTATTTTGATCCAGCGTCGTGGGGTAATCTCTCCATGGGAACAAGCAGAAAAGAGTGAAACGGGATGTTCTGTGTGTTTGTTACCTATGTGACCCAAAAGAGACTTCCATTTGGCTGAAATTAACTCCTCGAACCCCTGAAGAGTTGACCACACGCACCAGTGCAGATGATTTCTCACTCCTCTCATCCAGTCTTTAATCAGCTCAAGTCCCTTTTCCTGACTGGCTTTCAATAATTTCTTATTTATTGATCTAGCAGCATGCCAAATATAAAAAAATATAGGTTGTTTGGGGCTGACATTGCCTAATCCACTTTGCAATGCCCCTGTGACGATCAGAGACAAAAGTGGCCACAGACAATCCCACACTCTTTAAGAAAAGAAAGCAGCGTTTTACTCCTCCCAACTCCATGGCACTTTGCTGAAGATCATTTTAAATGCTACAAAGCAACGGCAGCTGATACAGGGAGCTATGAATTCAGTTCGGCACGGTAAGGGCACGCCGTTTGAAGCCAAGTCGCGCTTATAAGCTAAGACTTTGTCAAATCAAACTTACCTTTCTTCGCTCTCTATCTGTCACGGCTGGAACATCCCCTTGCGTTATCGCTACATCAATGGTTGGAAATGCTCCTTTTTCAATTCTTAGAACACTAGGCTGATCTGCTGGGTCGATCCTTCGTGAAAAGCTCTCTGGTGTGAAATGGACTGAACACAGCACTGATGTCTTCGATGGTTTGAACCCGCGCCGGTGTTTTTGCACAAATTTCGTCCATTTCCTTCTCACACTTTCGTTTGAAGTAAAAAGGTGCATCGGTATGCCGGGAGTTTAACTAGAATTAGTGCAGCTAACTAAACCAGGGCCGCCAGCTACACAATACTTTCCGAAGACTCTTCGATTTCGCTTATCCGCCATTCTTCCCGCCACAATCTACACAACTGATGACGTCACAGAGCATTCTGTGGCCGCGCGGAAATTGTCGCATATTTCTGACTTAAGTGCTTAACTTTAAGCGCTGGAAAATACCACTTTTGGGCGCCTCTAGAAGGTTCTAATAACGAAATCTGATCAAGCAATACCTCAATTTAAATACCAAAAAATTAAAACAGGTGTTCAAAATTTCGGGCCATATACACTTTAAGACGATTGAATACGTCCTATGAATTTAAGAAAATCACAAATCGAATTTGCACAATAACTTCAAAATGTGGGCAAACTCAGTGTCCAAAGAAAGGTTTAAAACTGTCCTGCAAAGGTTCTTTAAGCCATAGTGTCCATTGAATTTAAATAAGAAGCAGTTTTAAATTAACGTTTCTTACGAGTTTTAAGTCGACTGAACCTCTCTACTCTACATAAGTATCATCAGCTGCTGCGCTGTTCAAGATAATTTATCTGAAGAGAGCCTTAAGCCCATTACGATAATTTCTGCTGAAAATTAAACAGATACAAGGATTTATCGCACAATTTGCGATAGCCATTAACCTAACGACATATACAAAGTATAGGTCGACACAATTCGGACATATGATGGTGTCCGTAAAGAGGAGAATACACAAGAGGATAGTGAAGGGCAGCCAGCATAATGTAAACCCTAGCACAATAGCAATGGCCATCTTTAGCAAATTTCGCTCCCTTTGCTGGCGTTGTTGTCCAGCGTTGGCTGATTGCTCTCCTGGAATCCTCTGTGACTTGAGCTTTAGTAAGATGGTAACGTAAAGTATGGTTATCAACACCAACGGGATAAAAGTGAATACAACTATACAGGACACGAAATAATTCTCATGGGATGAGGATTCTCCAAAAAGTTCATTCCAGTTCTGCTGACAAACCAGCTTCTCTGGATGTTCAACAACTTTGCAGACGAAGAGAACTGGGGAATAAACAGCTATCGCGACGATCCAAGTGGCGAGAATAATAAACAGGCACAGATTTGAACTGATGAGTGGAGAACGGAGAGGAAATACCACAGCACCAAATCGATCCACTGCTATCAGAACCAGGCTCTGAAAGGACACAGTAGAGGAAACTTCTGTTAAGAAGGCAACCAGCTTACATAAGACCTGGCCAAAAGGACCACCGATCAACCAGGAGTCTTTATAGAGCGTTTGTATCTCCAAAGGAATCAAGAAAATCCGAAACAGCAGATCGGACATGGCCATGTTTACAATGAAAAAGTTGATGGGTTTTCTCATGGTTTTCGTCTTGTAGACAATAATTCCAATGACGGTGTTCCCAGCCAACGAAAAAATGAAGANGATCGGACATGGCCATGTTTACAATGAAAAAGTTGATGGGTTTTCTCATGGTTTTCGTCTTGTAGACAATAATTCCAATGACGGTGTTCCCAGCCAACGAAAAAATGAAGATCAGGCAGTAAGCAAATGTTATTCCAATTTTTTTCTGCTCTAGGATTGCTGGGGCAGCTCCATGACTGTGTTCCATTCATCGTTCTATTCACGTTTTCCGACATCGCCGTTCAGTTTCTTTTTCCGCTCTTACGCTGGCAAATGATTTTTTTTTCTGGTTTCTTCACTTAGTAACGTATCTATATTTATGTCCTAGTGAAGGCGGGATAACTGTTCGACTTGATGTCGGCATCCGCTCGAAAAGATTGATCAATTAGGAAATTTCCACGAAATGTTTAATGATTGGCAGATCTTTGTTCCAGCTGGTCGCAGTCTATTTGACAATATAATTCGGGTTGCTTATTTCGTGTAACTCAACAAAATGAGGTGATCAATCAGGCTTGTGCCACAAATTGCTTTTTGTTTTCATTTCATATCTTAACATCGATGAAACTGGAAGCAGACAGGGTCCTAAAATGTCAGTGCTGCTCAAATGAAGTAGTGAGAGCTGGGTGGGTTGTTTTTCAGCTCTGTTCGAAGTGTGATAAACATGACAGTCGTTCAATTTTCTTCTACCCTGTTATTTAATGAGGTTTAATAAATTGATCGTGGCATCAAATTGTCCATCATGACGAGTCAGTGAGAATACAGAATGTTCAACGTTAAAACCCGAGTTTAATAATAAACAATGCCCTATGAGAAAATGCTTCTTGTCGGAGTTTAAATCACGAAACTTTAATGTCTAATATGACAGCATAAACCGTCTAATGAAAGGCTGCCGCGCAAATGTGATTTGAATTTACTCCCGCTGCAGAGTCATGAAGTTTTCTCGAGTATCCAAGTCAGTATTTTAATAAAGAGACTCCTCCTCGTGCATTGCATATGACGTCAACAACGGCTAATAACTTCAGGATCGGATCTAAACTCGGTTTATGCCACACGAGAGTCTTCTTTAAAAAGTCTGTGTATGAAAAGAGAAGGATTTGGATTGAAACGAGAGAGGAGAGAGGAGATGGGGTCTAGTTTGTTTTTTCAAAATGAAGGACAGACTGAAAAAGTATAAACACTGATGTTAAACAAAGAACTATTCCATTACTTTCCTATTGATCCTTTTTCCGAAAACCCCACTTGGTCCTAGCTGTGGTATTACTGGATCAGCCGAACTTCAGTTTTCCTTTAATGATTGCCCATAGCTTTTCATAGGCCACTAAAAATGACTTGAGCTTTATACGAGGGGCGCGGCCAAATTTCGCCCGGCTATATTTCCTTGTTCGCTTTTGCCTTATTTCACTTAACTGATCGACGAGTAGCGACATTAATATATTTGCAATGCCTTTAATATACTTTGTGGGACTGCTATATATTTATGATTGTATCTGAGTCGTCTCGAGCAAGGGTGTATATGTAACACTTCAGGTTCGCTAAGTAGCGTAAAAGGTTCTTTGTCTTTCTTCTGGGCTTTTTTCTTCGGAATAGTTTTTCACTTTCACTCATTAATATCATTGTTAGAGTTTTATGTTGTATGGAAAGTGGGCGTCTGAAGGGAAAACATTTGAGCATCCCACGTGATAACAAAGTGTAAATGATTGGAGAAGCTTCCTGTTCATGGTTCCCACAAAGTCAATAACCACTGAGTTAATTAAGCGTTAGTTTATAGATATTCTCCTTTGCTGAGAAAACTAAACCAAAAAAATCCTCACCGCCTTTGGCTGTAACTTCTGATATAACATAATATAACATGACCATGATCAATTCATCAAGTTCTTAATAAAGTTGATGTCACCTAAATTGTTGGCGGAAAACATTTTTTATTTTACTGTTCTAGTTCATCTTTTAACGCCTGCTTTTTGGAGCCGATTCAAAGATAACAAAGTGATAAATTTACTTCCATTATGATTTTCTTTCATTTTAACTCTAACATAACTCGTTCATTTGAATAGAACAGCACCAACCATTTCATTTGCAACTACGTGCTCCATTTAATTGAACTATTTCCTTATTTGTTTTGTTAAGGCCGACGGTGTAAATCCTTGTCATTTTATGTTGTATTGAAAGCGGAATTGTCCTCTTAACCTCGCTGTTTTAATAAAAAAAAAAACAATTGTTAAGAACGACAATGTTTTGTCTGTCAAAATAGTCTGTGCGTCTATTTAGATTCAGCAGGTGTATTTGTCAGCGTTTAATTAACCGAGGGAGAAAGAAGGGATATTTGCGTTTTGAGGCCTCCAAGCTGTCATCAAAAGAAGGACTGTCAAATAATACTGTCAGACAAGACACCCGTATCCGCTTTTAAAACCACAAATCAATAATAATCATGTATAATAAGTAATAGTTATTGTACTCACTGGGAGTAGAGTATAATTCAGGGAGTAATCGCGCGTGTAACTTCAAAATTGGACGAGCGCGAAGGGCGAGGCCGATTTGAAATTAAGAGCTACAATTACTCCCTAAATTGTACGACACGAAGTCCAATTACTAATAAATCGTATCTATAACAAATTTTAGAACATAAATAAGTCTTTGGAGAACTTCCATAAATTTTAAAAACTGAAGGAAGCCATTTAAGCGTGTAATTGACGTGCAAATCACTGTGGGTATCCAATTACAGCTATCCAATAACAAAAAGCTGTAGTTTGATACCTGTAATTGGACACCACGTGATCGCGCGCCGGCTACGTGACAAATAGGCGCGCGGAGAACCAATCACGATCGAATATATTGTTATAGATAGGATTATTGCCAATTATTATATAGCTATTATTTAGCGCACTGGGATGTGGTTAGCGCTCTTTTTGACCACACAGTTAGATTCAGATTCAGTTCTGCTATTATTCTATCTCTACTGAGCGGGTCTGTCTCGCTAGGCTGATTAGCTACCGTTAAAAGGATAGCCAGCTCAGCTGGGGCCTTAGGTTTGTTAAATCAAAGTAGCAGGAATACAGAAAATGTTATATGAATGATCACGTTTTCAAGAGTGACGGATAAAACATTGCTCAATATTGTACAGAGGGTATTCCTCAAAACGTCGGGCGGGGGAGGGTCGCCCGGGCCTTGATTGACACCTGTATTGGCCGGTCTTAGCTCACACCTAAATACATGATTTTCGTTTAGGTTAAGAAGTTCAAGGTAGAATTCTGATTGATGGTGAAATTCGAAATATTTCTTGAGATAAAAGTTGTCTTGATTTGGTGTGGGAGTAGGGTGGTAAAAAGAAATTTATGGTCACTCCTTGCCGAGTATCTGTTCTTTCACATGGGACCAGCATTGGGCTGATGTAAATTTATCGTTGGCACAACATTGGTACCGTTAATATCGCTGGACCTTTCGTAAGTCCCTGGTAAACAGTGTGATCGTAACCGTTGACGTCACTGTTGAGCACGCGCGATCGACTCATGCTCTTGCGCGATCCTGAGATAGAAACGCGGTTTGATTTCCCACCAAAAAGTTCATGCGCTGGATTGCGAGCACAGCGCATGCAGCAGTGGCGAATCTGGTTACAGTCGTTTGTGGATAGGAGATAATTCTGTTGTCGTATCATAGGGGTCAGCGGTATTCCGCATGGACCGTATTGTGTGTGTAAAACGAACACGGCTTCATGTCGGGTGAGAATAAAGTGTTGCGTTCTCGAAAGCTGTTGTTCCTTAGATAGGAGCTTTTCCAGCCGGTCAACATGGTGTCAGAAGTAGACGAACACTCACCTAAAGTTAGGAAGCTTCCTCCAAAGTGCGCTCAGCTTGTGTTTGAGAACGGCTGTGGGAGTTTTCGTTCGAATCGTTCCCTCCATTTATGGATGTTGTTAAGCTTATTGATTATTGCTCGGTGATGGGATGGTTAGAGTGGGAAGACGGGTGCAAATATGATATGCCAATCAAAGCGAGGATGAAAAAAAAATATGTAAGAAACAAAACCTATGCATTAAATAAGAAGGTGGATCAGATTGTGTTAGATTAGGCCTGATTGAGGTACGAGGAAATCCATGCTCCTTGGATCGTAGCAACCCAAAAGAAGATGCCTTGGAAATGTGCCAACTTGACTCGGGAAGTCAGCGAAGAAGAGTGAAGGAAAGTAGAACTCCTGATAAGGAAGTCAGGCCCACCTCACTGAATGGTGATACAACAGAAGGCCTTAAGCTCACTGAGAAAACCAACAGCACCTCCCCAGTACATGGTACGCGTGAAGTTATTGGTGTAGTTCATAGTGCTGTAACCAGTGAAGAAAAAGTTAGCTCAACGAGAAGTATGGCTTGTGAGGTGGGTGTGTCCCATGTGCCTGTACCTTGGGGAAAACTGGCTAAAACCATTTTCGTGGATGCCTTTAAAGATGTCCATGCAGGGTTAAGAACTTTGGGGCCGCCCCTGTACATCAGCATGAAACCTAATGTGACTCCAATCCAAGCACATCCACATTGGTGCCCTGTAGCAAAAGAAGCAAAAGCATCTGGCGCAATACGGGATCTTGAAAAACCGGGTATCCTGAAAAAGGTTACTGAGCCAACTGCATGGATCTCCAACAGTGTCTATAGAGGGAAACCCGACGGAAGCATACGTGTGTGCATCGATCCTAGTCAAACAATCAATAAAGCCATTGAAGGCCCCCAATTCTTCAGTTGATGAGTTGCTGCCTAAGTTGAACAATACCAAACATTTTTTCCTGTGCGGATGTGTACAAGGGGTTCACAAACATTGAGTTAGATCAAAGTTCCTCATTCTTAACCACCATGCATACTCCGATTGGTCGCTACCGTTGATTGCGTTTTACGTTCGGGGTCAGTTTAGGACCGGAGAAATACCAGCGTATACAACATGAAGCATTGGAAAGATTGCCTGGTGTTATGAACAAGGCCAATGACATTTTAGTCTTTGGGAATGGAGATAGTATTCAGGAGGCGGAGGAGGATCATGATATTAACTTGTGGAACTTAATGTTGCGGTGCCGAGAAGTGAATCTTAAGTTAAACCCCCAAACATTGCAGTTCAAAGTGAGGCAAGTTACCTGGATGGGCCATCTCCTTAGCAGTAATGGCATCACCCAACATCCAGATCGGGTCCGGGCCATTAAGGACATGACCACACCGCAAGATGTAAAAGGGGTTCAGCGGTTGCTGGGCACGTGCAATTATTTGTAACGCTTCACCCCAAACCTTACAGAATAAGAATAAGGTGGCTTAGGGTGAAACAAAATGACTTTAAAACACCATACATTATTTCTTTTTTGGAGAGAATGGGTTTTTTCTTACAAAGAGAAAAATACCGACGTGTAAATTCTGACCAAAAAGACACTGCTAATGGACAATCAACAAAGAGATGTTCGCTGGTTTAATGTTAGAACAAAAAGGACAGTCAGGACTGGATTTTTTTTTTTTTTTTTTTTTTTTTTNAGACGATTGAATACGTCCTATGAATTTAAGAAAATCACAAATCGAATTTGCACAATAACTTCAAAATGTGGGCAAACTCAGTGTCCAAAGAAAGGTTTAAAACTGTCCTGCAAAGGTTCTTTAAGCCATAGTGTCCATTGAATTTAAATAAGAAGCAGTTTTAAATTAACGTTTCTTACGAGTTTTAAGTCGACTGAACCTCTCTACTCTACATAAGTATCATCAGCTGCTGCGCTGTTCAAGATAATTTATCTGAAGAGAGCCTTAAGCCCATTACGATAATTTCTGCTGAAAATTAAACAGATACAAGGATTTATCGCACAATTTGCGATAGCCATTAACCTAACGACATATACAAAGTATAGGTCGTCACAATTCGGCCATATGATGGTGTCCGTAAAGAGGAGAATACACCAGAGGATAGTGAAGGGCAGCCAGCATACTGTAAACCCTAGCACAATAGCAATGGCCATCTTTAGCACATTTCGCTCCCTTTGCTGGCGTTGTTGTCCAGCGTTGGCTGATTGCTCTCCTGGAATCCTCTGTGACTTGAGCTTTAGTAAGATGGTAACGTAAAGTATGGTTATCAACACCAACGGGATAAAAGTGAATACAACTATACAGGACACGAAATAATTCTCATGGGATGAGGATTCTCCAAAAAGTTCATTCCAGTTCTGCTGACAAACCAGCTTCTCTGGATGTTCAACAACTTTGCAGACGAAGAGAACTGGGGAATAAACAGCTATCGCGACGATCCAAGTGGCGAGAATAATAAACAGGCACAGATTTGAACTGATGAGTGGAGAACGGAGAGGAAATACCACAGCACCAAATCGATCCACTGCTATCAGAACCAGGCTCTGAAAGGACACAGTAGAGGAAACTTCTGTTAAGAAGGCAACCAGCTTACATAAGACCTGGCCAAAAGGACCACCGATCAACCAGGAGTCTTTATAGAGCGTTTGTATCTCCAAAGGAATCAAGAAAATCCGAAACAGCAGATCGGACATGGCCATGTTTACAATGAAAAAGTTGATGGGTTTTCTCATGGTTTTCGTCTTGTAGACAATAATTCCAATGACGGTGTTCCCAGCCAACGAAAAAATGAAGATCAGGCAGTAAGCAAATGTTATTCCAATTTTTTTCTGCTCTAGGATTGCTGGGGCAGCTCCATGACTGTGTTCCATTCATCGTTCTATTCACGTTTTCCGACATCGCCGTTCAGTTTCTTTTTCCGCTCTTACGCTGGCAAATGATTTTTTTTTCTGGTTTCTTCACTTAGTAACGTATCTATATTTATGTCCTAGTGAAGGCGGGATAACTGTTCGACTTGATGTCGGCATCCGCTCGAAAAGATTGATCAATTAGGAAATTTCCACGAAATGTTTAATGATTGGCAGATCTTTGTTCCAGCTGGTCGCAGTCTATTTGACAATATAATTCGGGTTGCTTATTTCGTGTAACTCAACAAAATGAGGTGATCAATCAGGCTTGTGCCACAAATTGCTTTTTGTTTTCATTTCATATCTTAACATCGATGAAACTGGAAGCAGACAGGGTCCTAAAATGTCAGTGCTGCTCAAATGAAGTAGTGAGAGCTGGGTGGGTTGTTTTTCAGCTCTGTTCGAAGTGTGATAAACATGACAGTCGTTCAATTTTCTTCTACCCTGTTATTTAATGAGGTTTAATAAATTGATCGTGGCATCAAATTGTCCATCATGACGAGTCAGTGAGAATACAGAATGTTCAACGTTAAAACCCGAGTTTAATAATAAACAATGCCCTATGAGAAAATGCTTCTTGTCGGAGTTTAAATCACGAAACTTTAATGTCTAATATGACAGCATAAACCGTCTAATGAAAGGCTGCCGCGCAAATGTGATTTGAATTTACTCCCGCTGCAGAGTCATGAAGTTTTCTCGAGTATCCAAGTCAGTATTTTAATAAAGAGACTCCTCCTCGCGCATTGCATATGACGTCAACAACGGCTAATAACTTCAGGATCGGATCTAAACTCGGTTTATGCCACACGAGAGTCTTCGTTAAAAAGTCTGTGTATGAAAAGAGAAGGATTTGGATTGAAACGAGAGAGGAGAGAGGAGATGGGGTCTAGTTTGTTTTTTCAAAATGAAGGACAGACTGAAAAAGTATAAACACTGATGTTAAACAAAGAACTATTCCATTACTTTCCTATTGATCCTTTTTCCGAAAACCCCACTTGGTCCTAGCTGTGGTATTACTGGATCAGCCGAACTTCAGTTTTCCTTTAATGATTGCCCATAGCTTTTCATAGGCCACTAAAAATGACTTGAGCTTTATACGAGGGGCGCGGCCAAATTTCGCCCGGCTATATTTCCTTGTTCGCTTTTGCCTTATTTCACTTAACTGATCGACGAGTAGCGACATTAATATATTTGCAATGCCTTTAATATACTTTGTGGGACTGCTATATATTTATGATTGTATCTGAGTCGTCTCGAGCAAGGGTGTATATGTAACACTTCAGGTTCGCTAAGTAGCGTAAAAGGTTCTTTGTCTTTCTTCTGGGCTTTTTTCTTCGGAATAGTTTTTCACTTTCACTCATTAATATCATTGTTAGAGTTTTATGTTGTATGGAAAGTGGGCGTCTGAAGGGAAAACATTTGAGCATCCCACGTGATAACAAAGTGTAAATGATTGGAGAAGCTTCCTGTTCATGGTTCCCACAAAGTCAATAACCACTGAGTTAATTAAGCGTTAGTTTATAGATATTCTCCTTTGCTGAGAAAACTAAACCAAAAAAATCCTCACCGCCTTTGGCTGTAACTTCTGATATAACATAATATAACATGACCATGATCAATTCATCAAGTTCTTAATAAAGTTGATGTCACCTAAATTGTTGGCGGAAAACATTTTTTATTTTACTGTTCTAGTTCATCTTTTAACGCCTGCTTTTTGGAGCCGATTCAAAGATAACAAAGTGATAAATTTACTTCCATTATGATTTTCTTTCATTTTAACTCTAACATAACTCGTTCATTTGAATAGAACAGCACCAACCATTTCATTTGCAACTACGTGCTCCATTTAATTGAACTATTTCCTTATTTGTTTTGTTAAGGCCGACGGTGTAAATCCTTGTCATTTTATGTTGTATTGAAAGCGGAATTGTCCTCTTAACCTCGCTGTTTTAATAAAAAAAAAAACAATTGTTAAGAACGACAATGTTTTGTCTGTCAAAATAGTCTGTGCGTCTATTTAGATTCAGCAGGTGTATTTGTCAGCGTTTAATTAACCGAGGGAGAAAGAAGGGATATTTGCGTTTTGAGGCCTCCAAGCTGTCATCAAAAGAAGGACTGTCAAATAATACTGTCAGACAAGACACCCGTATCCGCTTTTAAAACCACAAATCAATAATAATCATGTATAATAAGTAATAGTTATTGTACTCACTGGGAGTAGAGTATAATTCAGGGAGTAATCGCGCGTGTAACTTCAAAATTGGACGAGCGCGAAGGGCGAGGCCGATTTGAAATTAAGAGCTACAATTACTCCCTAAATTGTACGACACGAAGTCCAATTACTAATAAATCGTATCTATAACAAATTTTAGAACATAAATAAGTCTTTGGAGAACTTCCATAAATTTTAAAAACTGAAGGAAGCCATTTAAGCGTGTAATTGACGTGCAAATCACTGTGGGTATCCAATTACAGCTATCCAATAACAAAAAGCTGTAGTTTGATACCTGTAATTGGACACCACGTGATCGCGCGCCGGCTACGTGACAAATAGGCGCGCGGAGAACCAATCACGATCGAATATATTGTTATAGATAGGATTATTGCCAATTATTATATAGCTATTATTTAGCGCACTGGGATGTGGTTAGCGCTCTTTTTGACCACACAGTTAGATTCAGATTCAGTTCTGCTATTATTCTATCTCTACTGAGCGGGTCTGTCTCGCTAGGCTGATTAGCTACCGTTAAAAGGATAGCCAGCTCAGCTGGGGCCTTAGGTTTGTTAAATCAAAGTAGCAGGAATACAGAAAATGTTATATGAATGATCACGTTTTCAAGAGTGACGGATAAAACATTGCTCAATATTGTACAGAGGGTATTCCTCAAAACGTCGGGCGGGGGAGGGTCGCCCGGGCCTTGATTGACACCTGTATTGGCCGGTCTTAGCTCACACCTAAATACATGATTTTCGTTTAGGTTAAGAAGTTCAAGGTAGAATTCTGATTGATGGTGAAATTCGAAATATTTCTTGAGATAAAAGTTGTCTTGATTTGGTGTGGGAGTAGGGTGGTAAAAAGAAATTTATGGTCACTCCTTGCCGAGTATCTGTTCTTTCACATGGGACCAGCATTGGGCTGATGTAAATTTATCGTTGGCACAACATTGGTACCGTTAATATCGCTGGACCTTTCGTAAGTCCCTGGTAAACAGTGTGATCGTAACCGTTGACGTCACTGTTGAGCACGCGCGATCGACTCATGCTCTTGCGCGATCCTGAGATAGAAACGCGGTTTGATTTCCCACCAAAAAGTTCATGCGCTGGATTGCGAGCACAGCGCATGCAGCAGTGGCGAATCTGGTTACAGTCGTTTGTGGATAGGAGATAATTCTGTTGTCGTATCATAGGGGTCAGCGGTATTCCGCATGGACCGTATTGTGTGTGTAAAACGAACACGGCTTCATGTCGGGTGAGAATAAAGTGTTGCGTTCTCGAAAGCTGTTGTTCCTTAGATAGGAGCTTTTCCAGCCGGTCAACATGGTGTCAGAAGTAGACGAACACTCACCTAAAGTTAGGAAGCTTCCTCCAAAGTGCGCTCAGCTTGTGTTTGAGAACGGCTGTGGGAGTTTTCGTTCGAATCGTTCCCTCCATTTATGGATGTTGTTAAGCTTATTGATTATTGCTCGGTGATGGGATGGTTAGAGTGGGAAGACGGGTGCAAATATGATATGCCAATCAAAGCGAGGATGAAAAAAAAATATGTAAGAAACAAAACCTATGCATTAAATAAGAAGGTGGATCAGATTGTGTTAGATTAGGCCTGATTGAGGTACGAGGAAATCCATGCTCCTTGGATCGTAGCAACCCAAAAGAAGATGCCTTGGAAATGTGCCAACTTGACTCGGGAAGTCAGCGAAGAAGAGTGAAGGAAAGTAGAACTCCTGATAAGGAAGTCAGGCCCACCTCACTGAATGGTGATACAACAGAAGGCCTTAAGCTCACTGAGAAAACCAACAGCACCTCCCCAGTACATGGTACGCGTGAAGTTATTGGTGTAGTTCATAGTGCTGTAACCAGTGAAGAAAAAGTTAGCTCAACGAGAAGTATGGCTTGTGAGGTGGGTGTGTCCCATGTGCCTGTACCTTGGGGAAAACTGGCTAAAACCATTTTCGTGGATGCCTTTAAAGATGTCCATGCAGGGTTAAGAACTTTGGGGCCGCCCCTGTACATCAGCATGAAACCTAATGTGACTCCAATCCAAGCACATCCACATTGGTGCCCTGTAGCAAAAGAAGCAAAAGCATCTGGCGCAATACGGGATCTTGAAAAACCGGGTATCCTGAAAAAGGTTACTGAGCCAACTGCATGGATCTCCAACAGTGTCTATAGAGGGAAACCCGACGGAAGCATACGTGTGTGCATCGATCCTAGTCAAACAATCAATAAAGCCATTGAAGGCCCCCAATTCTTCAGTTGATGAGTTGCTGCCTAAGTTGAACAATACCAAACATTTTTTCCTGTGCGGATGTGTACAAGGGGTTCACAAACATTGAGTTAGATCAAAGTTCCTCATTCTTAACCACCATGCATACTCCGATTGGTCGCTACCGTTGATTGCGTTTTACGTTCGGGGTCAGTTTAGGACCGGAGAAATACCAGCGTATACAACATGAAGCATTGGAAAGATTGCCTGGTGTTATGAACAAGGCCAATGACATTTTAGTCTTTGGGAATGGAGATAGTATTCAGGAGGCGGAGGAGGATCATGATATTAACTTGTGGAACTTAATGTTGCGGTGCCGAGAAGTGAATCTTAAGTTAAACCCCCAAACATTGCAGTTCAAAGTGAGGCAAGTTACCTGGATGGGCCATCTCCTTAGCAGTAATGGCATCACCCAACATCCAGATCGGGTCCGGGCCATTAAGGACATGACCACACCGCAAGATGTAAAAGGGGTTCAGCGGTTGCTGGGCACGTGCAATTATTTGTAACGCTTCACCCCAAACCTTACAGAATAAGAATAAGGTGGCTTAGGGTGAAACAAAATGACTTTAAAACACCATACATTATTTCTTTTTTGGAGAGAATGGGTTTTTTCTTACAAAGAGAAAAATACCGACGTGTAAATTCTGACCAAAAAGACACTGCTAATGGACAATCAACAAAGAGATGTTCGCTGGTTTAATGTTAGAACAAAAAGGACAGTCAGGACTGGATTTTTTTTTTTTTTTTTTTTTTTTTTNCACAATAACTTCAAAATGTGGGCAAACTCAGTGTCCAAAGAAAGGTTTAAAACTGTCCTGCAAAGGTTCTTTAAGCCATAGTGTCCATTGAATTTAAATAAGAAGCAGTTTTAAATTAACGTTTCTTACGAGTTTTAAGTCGACTGAACCTCTCTACTCTACATAAGTATCATCAGCTGCTGCGCTGTTCAAGATAATTTATCTGAAGAGAGCCTTAAGCCCATTACGATAATTTCTGCTGAAAATTAAACAGATACAAGGATTTATCGCACAATTTGCGATAGCCATTAACCTAACGACATATACAAAGTATAGGTCGTCACAATTCGGCCATATGATGGTGTCCGTAAAGAGGAGAATACACCAGAGGATAGTGAAGGGCAGCCAGCATACTGTAAACCCTAGCACAATAGCAATGGCCATCTTTAGCACATTTCGCTCCCTTTGCTGGCGTTGTTGTCCAGCGTTGGCTGATTGCTCTCCTGGAATCCTCTGTGACTTGAGCTTTAGTAAGATGGTAACGTAAAGTATGGTTATCAACACCAACGGGATAAAAGTGAATACAACTATACAGGACACGAAATAATTCTCATGGGATGAGGATTCTCCAAAAAGTTCATTCCAGTTCTGCTGACAAACCAGCTTCTCTGGATGTTCAACAACTTTGCAGACGAAGAGAACTGGGGAATAAACAGCTATCGCGACGATCCAAGTGGCGAGAATAATAAACAGGCACAGATTTGAACTGATGAGTGGAGAACGGAGAGGAAATACCACAGCACCAAATCGATCCACTGCTATCAGAACCAGGCTCTGAAAGGACACAGTAGAGGAAACTTCTGTTAAGAAGGCAACCAGCTTACATAAGACCTGGCCAAAAGGACCACCGATCAACCAGGAGTCTTTATAGAGCGTTTGTATCTCCAAAGGAATCAAGAAAATCCGAAACAGCAGATCGGACATGGCCATGTTTACAATGAAAAAGTTGATGGGTTTTCTCATGGTTTTCGTCTTGTAGACAATAATTCCAATGACGGTGTTCCCAGCCAACGAAAAAATGAAGATCAGGCAGTAAGCAAATGTTATTCCAATTTTTTTCTGCTCTAGGATTGCTGGGGCAGCTCCATGACTGTGTTCCATTCATCGTTCTATTCACGTTTTCCGACATCGCCGTTCAGTTTCTTTTTCCGCTCTTACGCTGGCAAATGATTTTTTTTTCTGGTTTCTTCACTTAGTAACGTATCTATATTTATGTCCTAGTGAAGGCGGGATAACTGTTCGACTTGATGTCGGCATCCGCTCGAAAAGATTGATCAATTAGGAAATTTCCACGAAATGTTTAATGATTGGCAGATCTTTGTTCCAGCTGGTCGCAGTCTATTTGACAATATAATTCGGGTTGCTTATTTCGTGTAACTCAACAAAATGAGGTGATCAATCAGGCTTGTGCCACAAATTGCTTTTTGTTTTCATTTCATATCTTAACATCGATGAAACTGGAAGCAGACAGGGTCCTAAAATGTCAGTGCTGCTCAAATGAAGTAGTGAGAGCTGGGTGGGTTGTTTTTCAGCTCTGTTCGAAGTGTGATAAACATGACAGTCGTTCAATTTTCTTCTACCCTGTTATTTAATGAGGTTTAATAAATTGATCGTGGCATCAAATTGTCCATCATGACGAGTCAGTGAGAATACAGAATGTTCAACGTTAAAACCCGAGTTTAATAATAAACAATGCCCTATGAGAAAATGCTTCTTGTCGGAGTTTAAATCACGAAACTTTAATGTCTAATATGACAGCATAAACCGTCTAATGAAAGGCTGCCGCGCAAATGTGATTTGAATTTACTCCCGCTGCAGAGTCATGAAGTTTTCTCGAGTATCCAAGTCAGTATTTTAATAAAGAGACTCCTCCTCGCGCATTGCATATGACGTCAACAACGGCTAATAACTTCAGGATCGGATCTAAACTCGGTTTATGCCACACGAGAGTCTTCGTTAAAAAGTCTGTGTATGAAAAGAGAAGGATTTGGATTGAAACGAGAGAGGAGAGAGGAGATGGGGTCTAGTTTGTTTTTTCAAAATGAAGGACAGACTGAAAAAGTATAAACACTGATGTTAAACAAAGAACTATTCCATTACTTTCCTATTGATCCTTTTTCCGAAAACCCCACTTGGTCCTAGCTGTGGTATTACTGGATCAGCCGAACTTCAGTTTTCCTTTAATGATTGCCCATAGCTTTTCATAGGCCACTAAAAATGACTTGAGCTTTATACGAGGGGCGCGGCCAAATTTCGCCCGGCTATATTTCCTTGTTCGCTTTTGCCTTATTTCACTTAACTGATCGACGAGTAGCGACATTAATATATTTGCAATGCCTTTAATATACTTTGTGGGACTGCTATATATTTATGATTGTATCTGAGTCGTCTCGAGCAAGGGTGTATATGTAACACTTCAGGTTCGCTAAGTAGCGTAAAAGGTTCTTTGTCTTTCTTCTGGGCTTTTTTCTTCGGAATAGTTTTTCACTTTCACTCATTAATATCATTGTTAGAGTTTTATGTTGTATGGAAAGTGGGCGTCTGAAGGGAAAACATTTGAGCATCCCACGTGATAACAAAGTGTAAATGATTGGAGAAGCTTCCTGTTCATGGTTCCCACAAAGTCAATAACCACTGAGTTAATTAAGCGTTAGTTTATAGATATTCTCCTTTGCTGAGAAAACTAAACCAAAAAAATCCTCACCGCCTTTGGCTGTAACTTCTGATATAACATAATATAACATGACCATGATCAATTCATCAAGTTCTTAATAAAGTTGATGTCACCTAAATTGTTGGCGGAAAACATTTTTTATTTTACTGTTCTAGTTCATCTTTTAACGCCTGCTTTTTGGAGCCGATTCAAAGATAACAAAGTGATAAATTTACTTCCATTATGATTTTCTTTCATTTTAACTCTAACATAACTCGTTCATTTGAATAGAACAGCACCAACCATTTCATTTGCAACTACGTGCTCCATTTAATTGAACTATTTCCTTATTTGTTTTGTTAAGGCCGACGGTGTAAATCCTTGTCATTTTATGTTGTATTGAAAGCGGAATTGTCCTCTTAACCTCGCTGTTTTAATAAAAAAAAAAACAATTGTTAAGAACGACAATGTTTTGTCTGTCAAAATAGTCTGTGCGTCTATTTAGATTCAGCAGGTGTATTTGTCAGCGTTTAATTAACCGAGGGAGAAAGAAGGGATATTTGCGTTTTGAGGCCTCCAAGCTGTCATCAAAAGAAGGACTGTCAAATAATACTGTCAGACAAGACACCCGTATCCGCTTTTAAAACCACAAATCAATAATAATCATGTATAATAAGTAATAGTTATTGTACTCACTGGGAGTAGAGTATAATTCAGGGAGTAATCGCGCGTGTAACTTCAAAATTGGACGAGCGCGAAGGGCGAGGCCGATTTGAAATTAAGAGCTACAATTACTCCCTAAATTGTACGACACGAAGTCCAATTACTAATAAATCGTATCTATAACAAATTTTAGAACATAAATAAGTCTTTGGAGAACTTCCATAAATTTTAAAAACTGAAGGAAGCCATTTAAGCGTGTAATTGACGTGCAAATCACTGTGGGTATCCAATTACAGCTATCCAATAACAAAAAGCTGTAGTTTGATACCTGTAATTGGACACCACGTGATCGCGCGCCGGCTACGTGACAAATAGGCGCGCGGAGAACCAATCACGATCGAATATATTGTTATAGATAGGATTATTGCCAATTATTATATAGCTATTATTTAGCGCACTGGGATGTGGTTAGCGCTCTTTTTGACCACACAGTTAGATTCAGATTCAGTTCTGCTATTATTCTATCTCTACTGAGCGGGTCTGTCTCGCTAGGCTGATTAGCTACCGTTAAAAGGATAGCCAGCTCAGCTGGGGCCTTAGGTTTGTTAAATCAAAGTAGCAGGAATACAGAAAATGTTATATGAATGATCACGTTTTCAAGAGTGACGGATAAAACATTGCTCAATATTGTACAGAGGGTATTCCTCAAAACGTCGGGCGGGGGAGGGTCGCCCGGGCCTTGATTGACACCTGTATTGGCCGGTCTTAGCTCACACCTAAATACATGATTTTCGTTTAGGTTAAGAAGTTCAAGGTAGAATTCTGATTGATGGTGAAATTCGAAATATTTCTTGAGATAAAAGTTGTCTTGATTTGGTGTGGGAGTAGGGTGGTAAAAAGAAATTTATGGTCACTCCTTGCCGAGTATCTGTTCTTTCACATGGGACCAGCATTGGGCTGATGTAAATTTATCGTTGGCACAACATTGGTACCGTTAATATCGCTGGACCTTTCGTAAGTCCCTGGTAAACAGTGTGATCGTAACCGTTGACGTCACTGTTGAGCACGCGCGATCGACTCATGCTCTTGCGCGATCCTGAGATAGAAACGCGGTTTGATTTCCCACCAAAAAGTTCATGCGCTGGATTGCGAGCACAGCGCATGCAGCAGTGGCGAATCTGGTTACAGTCGTTTGTGGATAGGAGATAATTCTGTTGTCGTATCATAGGGGTCAGCGGTATTCCGCATGGACCGTATTGTGTGTGTAAAACGAACACGGCTTCATGTCGGGTGAGAATAAAGTGTTGCGTTCTCGAAAGCTGTTGTTCCTTAGATAGGAGCTTTTCCAGCCGGTCAACATGGTGTCAGAAGTAGACGAACACTCACCTAAAGTTAGGAAGCTTCCTCCAAAGTGCGCTCAGCTTGTGTTTGAGAACGGCTGTGGGAGTTTTCGTTCGAATCGTTCCCTCCATTTATGGATGTTGTTAAGCTTATTGATTATTGCTCGGTGATGGGATGGTTAGAGTGGGAAGACGGGTGCAAATATGATATGCCAATCAAAGCGAGGATGAAAAAAAAATATGTAAGAAACAAAACCTATGCATTAAATAAGAAGGTGGATCAGATTGTGTTAGATTAGGCCTGATTGAGGTACGAGGAAATCCATGCTCCTTGGATCGTAGCAACCCAAAAGAAGATGCCTTGGAAATGTGCCAACTTGACTCGGGAAGTCAGCGAAGAAGAGTGAAGGAAAGTAGAACTCCTGATAAGGAAGTCAGGCCCACCTCACTGAATGGTGATACAACAGAAGGCCTTAAGCTCACTGAGAAAACCAACAGCACCTCCCCAGTACATGGTACGCGTGAAGTTATTGGTGTAGTTCATAGTGCTGTAACCAGTGAAGAAAAAGTTAGCTCAACGAGAAGTATGGCTTGTGAGGTGGGTGTGTCCCATGTGCCTGTACCTTGGGGAAAACTGGCTAAAACCATTTTCGTGGATGCCTTTAAAGATGTCCATGCAGGGTTAAGAACTTTGGGGCCGCCCCTGTACATCAGCATGAAACCTAATGTGACTCCAATCCAAGCACATCCACATTGGTGCCCTGTAGCAAAAGAAGCAAAAGCATCTGGCGCAATACGGGATCTTGAAAAACCGGGTATCCTGAAAAAGGTTACTGAGCCAACTGCATGGATCTCCAACAGTGTCTATAGAGGGAAACCCGACGGAAGCATACGTGTGTGCATCGATCCTAGTCAAACAATCAATAAAGCCATTGAAGGCCCCCAATTCTTCAGTTGATGAGTTGCTGCCTAAGTTGAACAATACCAAACATTTTTTCCTGTGCGGATGTGTACAAGGGGTTCACAAACATTGAGTTAGATCAAAGTTCCTCATTCTTAACCACCATGCATACTCCGATTGGTCGCTACCGTTGATTGCGTTTTACGTTCGGGGTCAGTTTAGGACCGGAGAAATACCAGCGTATACAACATGAAGCATTGGAAAGATTGCCTGGTGTTATGAACAAGGCCAATGACATTTTAGTCTTTGGGAATGGAGATAGTATTCAGGAGGCGGAGGAGGATCATGATATTAACTTGTGGAACTTAATGTTGCGGTGCCGAGAAGTGAATCTTAAGTTAAACCCCCAAACATTGCAGTTCAAAGTGAGGCAAGTTACCTGGATGGGCCATCTCCTTAGCAGTAATGGCATCACCCAACATCCAGATCGGGTCCGGGCCATTAAGGACATGACCACACCGCAAGATGTAAAAGGGGTTCAGCGGTT